CTGGACTTCCTCCTCGGGCATATTGAACAAACAAACCCGGAGTGGGAAATAACAAATTAATGAACATGATGGTATGCACAAATTCTAGCTACAAGAAATACTACAGTCATAGAATTTAGTGCTGGCCATCTCTTGCATTACACATATTTTATATTTTAAAACCAAGGTTAAGGTTTCAGGTCTCTGCAAATACAGGATTTATCTATAAGATGTGTTGGAGCCTCACTGATGGTCTCAGGTTGTTATGGATATTTAAAGCCTGTGTTATGTTTTTTGTTTTGTGGATGCTCAGTCTCCACACAACTGAAACTTATTGTCTTTCAGACAACCCTTGAAGTTTAGGAGTCGCCGTTTCAGCAGGAAATAATATTATATACTTCAGCTTTAAAACGTAAATCATGTTAAAATCCTGCCCTCCACACAATGGCATCAGGCTGCAGAAATTTAGCTGTGAAACATGCCAGTGCTCACAGGCAAGGAAGTTGAAGTGTTTTCTTCTCTATCTAACTTAATCTTCCCCATGCTGTCAATCATTTACTCTTCTGTAGATGAGCCAACGTGTTGGACGGTTGCTGCTGGTATACCAGCAATATGTTGCAGTGTTTGCACACCAACGTTTGCTCAATGCTGTCTTTAAATAGTGAATAGATGAACTTGAAAGTTGCTGGTAGCTTTTATTCTGTGGCAGGCAGCAAAGACAACATATGTCACAGTCAGTCCTGCGCATCAGATCGCCATGGCAACTAGTTATTTGGATAGAGTGTGATAGCATATTATTTACTCAGAACTGAACAGACAAGAGATGTCCTAGACTCTCCCATCGCTACGCGGGACAGACCCGTTTGGGGATTACGTCAGGTGTAGCTCCCTCTGTTTTCCTCTCACTATATGTTGTGACAGCCCCCCTTAGGTTTTTTTTTTTTTTTACCTCTAGACATAGAATTGTCATTTAGCTGATTTGGATTTTTTGTGTTTTTACGACGTCTCACACCATTCAGAAGAGGCACATCATGCAAGTGTGTGAAGATGTGTGCTTGAGTGTAGGAGGGTTAGTTTGGTCCACGTGTCTGAATATTATTTTCTAGTAGAAACACAGATAGTTGGTATCTCTATGAGCTGCTTTTCTTCCCCCCCGATACGTCGGCTAAAGTTATTTCTTGGTTTTCCTGCATGCTGAACAAATGTTGGACTCATTCTATCTGGACTCTGATCCAGAACCGTATGACATTCTGGGGATGTACGCAGAGGAAAGACTGCAGCTGCACAACCTCTCACAGCCCAGCTAAGTAAGGCTGGTGGGATCAACTAACTAACTCAATTTGGTTACCTAGCAACAACTTGTTGACTGAGCACCTACATACTCTGGGATACTTCACTCCTCGGACTTCCACATGTACTCAATGCGGTCCATCAGACTCCTCCCCACAGAGGTCAGTTTTTACAACCTCGCATACTCCATGCACCAACTCTCATGGGAAACTGCTTGGCAGGAAATAGCGTTCACATCGAGCAGTTTTGTATGCATCACCGAACTGATAATATTGAGAGCCAGTGCAACCAATGGCAAAGATGCATATTGTGACTGCCTCTCTGTGCAGCAGCAACAGGTGTGCAGCGGCAGCCCTGATGGAGAAGAAACTGGACCAGGCCCCCAACTAGCTCAGACCTGCTAGTAACCTTTTGCATTGTGGGAAATTAAGGAATTTGTCGTGGGAAATTAAGGAATTTGTCATGAGAAATGCAGGAAATCGGTACGCTTGATTATAAAACATCAACTGTCCACGGACAGTGCACACAAGGTCTGCACATTTCAGAAAGTATGTCTGAGTATGGGAGCAGTTTCAATACATAGTGTGAATGTACCCCATAAAAGATTAAAAATAAAAAATATTGAGGTGGAGTGAAGGGAGAAAATGAGTTCAACGGTTCAAGAGGAAATTGTGGATAAAAGAGGAAAGGTTACGTCACCAGTTTGGAAGTATTTTTGATATTTAAAACAGAAAACTAATCAATAGTTATTGACAGACTGATTTGAAGCTCTAATGTTGTGCCTTGTTTTTCAGCCGTATCACCCAGCCCTAATTTGACTTCTCTATTTACTTCAATGTCCTCTTTCAATTGGCTGGTTTTTTGGCACAGACCCATTTTTTAAGATACTGTGTATTTTGTCAGAGTGGAGATCAGGGATCAGGGAAATCCTGTAGAAAGTCTTCTAAACCAGTTTTGTGTGTTTGGGTTCGTTATCCTTGTATCCCTTGTTTTGACCACCTGACTCAAATTGTCGCCTGCAGATTCAAGGAAATAGTTTAAATGAATTTGGCAATTTGAATGAATAATGGACAACCAAATATTTTTTTTTTTTTTTTTGCCACAGTGGCAAGAAGTACCTTTGGAGGCGTCAAGGTGAAGATTTTAAAACAAGAACAATGTAACTGTTACCAAGCCTGTTGGTAGCATCATGCCAAGGATTTGTTTTGGTTCCTGTAGCCATGATGAATTTTATGAAGAGGGTGAAATACTGAAGATGGAGGACAACATTTTTTAGTAATTTCTTGTTTTAAAATGATTGAAATTGTTAAAATATGCTTCCTGTAGAGGAGCATTTGATTAACGCATTGAAAGCCCGTAATTGATGGCTTTGATGTCCAGGAAACAGGCAGGCAAACTTCTGACCATATCTTTGATTTGTCTGCCATTCCTGCTCATTTTCTGAACAGATAATCAGAACAGGATCCAGTCTCGCTGCGAAACAATCCGATCAAAACCCAGACATCTTTGTTTGGACAAAGCTACGTGTGCAGAAGACATTCTCTCCACTGGGGCATATGTTTTCCACAATTTGTACAATACCCTTGAAGGGAAACTCACACAATGAGCCGGGGTAATGTCACCGTTACTGTTCTGCGGTCTCTCAGGAGCCCCCTGATCACTCTTCCTCACTTCCCCTTCCTGTCTCTATGGGAAGTTGACCTTGACGGTCCCCACATGGCCTCATCTTCTTCATGTCTTTTTTTTTTTTTTTTTTTTAGAAATAGGGGCACCAAGCAGAACTGGAAGGGATGAGGGTGTCAGAGTGTGTAAATTCTGCATGCTTTTCATGTTTTCCTGTCCTCGCCCATCTATTTTTGGCAGAAGCTTGTGTTTTGGGGCATCCCCGTTAGCCCTGCTTGATTAAGTCATTAAAGTCATCCACCCATTCCTAAGTGGCAGAGCAAAGCTCCTGTCACACACCATCACCGTTCACTCCGCTGGAGCTATTGTCCAGTGCTCAGCACTTACGCAACAGTTGTGTTCGCAGGCAAAGGTCGTGGCATTGGCTGGCTAACCTACGAATGCTGGAACTCAGACAAACCCTTTGCACTTAGGCCAATTATCTCCTCAGTTCTTGTTCACCCACCCAGTGGCAGGCAACGGGTCTTTGTGCTAATGCATAACACGTCTTCATGTTGGTGAACAACGACTCGCACTCCTCTCCTGATTGTTTTATCTGGGCTGTTATACACCGGCAACAGAGATGTGTTGGCTTGGTGTTGTAAAACTATTAGATTTGAATCTAAAGTGGTGCTCATGAGTTTGCATACCCTAGCTGTTCCTAATGTTTCTAAATGTTTGACGGTTTTTTTTGGAAAAGGTGAATATTATATAAACTTTCCAAAGGTTTATAGAACTTTGAGTTCTATAAACTAAAACTCTATAAATTAGTTGTGTGTGTGTGTGTGTGTGTGTGTGTGTATGAGTGAGTGAGTCAGAAATCTGAGTTCCAGGGCTCCAGACAGATCCCTGCATGTTTCATTCAATTCCACACTGACGCCGATTGTTTAAGAACCACTAGGGAAAGCAAGAATTTTTTTTTACAAAGCATCTGCAAGAGAAGGTAGTTCAAGTTTACAATGGAGGAAAAGATAATCGGTTGTTTTCAAACTTGAATTAAGAAGTGGGAAAAGAGGGATCATGTTGAAACCAAGGTCAGGTAGGTTTGTAAAACTTTCAGCCACACCTGCCAGGAAAGGTGTTCAGGATGCAGAAAAACCCAGAAATGATTTCAGCCAGTTCATAGAGGCAAGTCTAAACACTTGATGAGACCAAAATTGATGCTATGTAGCCACAACCATCAATGCTACATTTGGAGAGAAGTCTAAAAGGGGAATGGTGAAAAGCTTCTGTAAAACCCAGAGGTGGGTTGCTTATTGTCTGGGGATTTATGAGCTATAATGGCTCGGGGAGCTTAGTCTAAACCAGGTGTTAGGAGCCTTTTCAATTGAAAGAGCTGCTTCTGCTGCTACCAAATGAAATTTGTCTAGAGCCACAGAAAACATTATGTAAACAAACGCGTACCAAAATTACTTTTGGTAGTAAACTAAAATTAAAAATGTATTTCTATTTACAAATTTTACTGCAAAATGAATAATCAAAAAAAAAAGTCAGCTGAATGAGTTTCCCCCTCCCCCCCATTACTGTGGAAAATAAAAAATATAATGCCTAGTATGAAAATAAAAATTATTTAAATTGTCAGTATTTTAAAAACTTTGTAGCATTTATTTGCTTAATTTATTTAGTTAATCTTTGCAGATACTGCACAAAGCCATACTGAAGAACTTCTCAACACACTTATTATTGCCTTTATAATTACTAAAGATTTGTTACAGATGAAAAGAAACCAAAAGATTTGCAAACTCTTGGTAACGTGAATACAGCGTGTGATCAGAAATTATATTAAAGGTAGAAATAAACAGTAGTAAGAATAAGATTGTGTTTTGACTTGAGGTTCATTTTGATAGTTTGTTGTCAGTCTGGCTTAAAAATATTCATACTATGGCTTCACTCAACTACTAAACTAAGAGATAGTTTGTATTATTCTTATGCTACTAAAAAATAGTTAGGTTTTGCCTGTGTATGTAAACATGTGAACTCAACTAAAGCGTTTAAGAAGGTAGGTGTACTGTGTGGTAAATTCCTCCTCACTCTTCATCCCTCCATCTCTGCCTTGTCTGTTTCTCCAGGTGGCTATAAAAATAGTGGATAAGACCCAGCTGGACGACGAGAACCTGAAAAAGATCTTCAGAGAGGTGCAAATCATGAAGTTGCTGAAGCACCCCCACATCATCCGCCTCTACCAGGTACACACAGCTCCAAACACACTCAGCTACCATCTTACAGCTCAGACCTGCGGTCTGGCAGGAGAACCCCAGCTGCCTCAAACGTAACACTCCTGAGGTTTTACCAGTGAACTTTGTCATCGCCGCTATATTTCACCTCCTAAACCTCATAGACGTTTAAAAACCTCCCAGTGTTTTTCCCCCTCATAACTTGATCCGGGAGTTCTCAAACACAGATTGAACACCACAGTGCACGGCAGGTCTTTTTCTATTTTAAATCTCTTGTTTATATGCCAAACTCTGCTTACTCATACTTGTTGTGTAACCGGTGAACCGCCCATCACTGGATGTTGGCCTGTCAGACGGTCTGTCGGTCCCTCTGGTTCTGATGCGTTTGTATCTTTAGGTGATGGAGACAGAGAAGATGATCTATCTGGTAACAGAGTACGCCAGTGGGGGAGAGATATTCGGTAAGGGATTTCCAGCCTCTTAACGTTGATTGGTTTTGTTATTGTCTTTCCCCATCACTGTTTTCGTCTTCCTTTTCTTTATATTCTTAGCATTTCTTTCGTGAAGATGCAGTTGTTTGGTTTAAACATATATTTTTTTATATTAATAAAACCCCTAAGCTCTTAATAAATGTAGTAGTTAATCAGGGTTGACTCAAGTTGAATAAACACAAAAAAGGTGAAATTGCGCCTTCTTAATTCCTGGCGGTACATTTCACAACCTAAATGTATTAGAATGCAACTTCCCATTAACTGTAATTTATAATCCATTGCTGTGATGTCTTGTAATTTAAAAAAAAAAACAAACAAAAAAAAAAAAAAACAGGGATCTCCTGAGATTAAGCATGCATTCACACCAGCCCAGATTAGTCTGATTTACTCAATCTCTAGTGTTTGTCTAGAAAGTCTGGTTTGTTTGGGAAGGTGTGAATATGCAATCAATCTCTGATGCAAACCAAAAAAAAAAAAAAAAAAAAAAA